ACTCATCTCCCGATTCAGATGATGATGATAATGAGGAAGATGGTTATGACAAAGCAGATAATGAGTGGTATTATGCACTGGAAAAAAAAAACAGTCACTAGTAAATGACAAGTTAGCTGGAGACACTAATGCGATCACACTCCTAGAATCTAGCCAACCTGAAACATATGATGAATTATTGCCAAAGCTTTCACCGGCAATGTGAAAAATGTGTCTATCTCGAAAGGCTCAGGAGGAGGAATCGAAAGAATCAGATGAGTGGTTTTCATCCCTACAATACTTGAATGCTAGTATAAATGACTTACCAATTTCCGAATCTTTTTTAGATAATGGAAGTGAGTTCAGTGGTATAAATGACCCAGCAATCAAAGCACTTGGATGGAAGGCTGATAAACCATCTAATTTTACCATAAAGGGCAATTCTAAGCATATTACCGATTTATTAGGATGGTATACAGACGTGCCAGTTATCTTGAAGGATAAAGAAGATAAAATGGTCACAGTTATTGGAAATTTTGTTCGTATTGATAATGGTGAAACAGAACCAATGCTATTTTTTGGTATGTCAAACATTCGAAAGATTCAAGGCGTCCCTGAGCCAAATAAAAACCAGTTCTGTATAAAATTACATGGAAAGGCATATATTATCCCAACCTTTAGCAAGGCTCCAGTAATCAAAGATCTGCCAAAAGTGGAGCAGGACCAAACATCCACCAATTCTTCTAACCTGACTGATGAGAAGAACTTAAAAAAAAGTGAGTTATGAGAAGCTCGAAAGAATGCTATATAGCACTCTTAAGTCTAAAGAAAATCTCAGCAGACTATGTGAGGAGTTGATATCACGCTATATTGAATTAAATAAAAAGCATCTTTTACGTGACTAGTATCTTATTCACTTCTTTCGTGATTTTTCTGTCTCTCTTATCTTCTTTCTCATAAATGCTTCTAATTCCTCATTGCTTATATTTAAACTTTTTGAAGCTAGTGGTGTCTGAATAACAGCTGATTCAGAGATACGAACGGATTTAGACTTAGTTTTTTTTTCTCCAGTCTTTTTTACCTTACTTCCAGAAATAACATTGCATTCCACAATGTCTGCTTGCTGAGGCGAACCAGGTTCTTCCGAAAATGGATTTATGTTTTTAGGATCTATTTCTGGGTGGACTCCTCTCCATATTTGATATACCCGTCGTGATGATATTTTGTATTTGTTAGCCATGGCTTCTGATGCTCATTTCATTGAATTATTAGCTTTAATAATATCCTGAATATCTTCAGCTGATAGGGGAATCGCATCTGAACACAGATACCGAAGCATTTTTACAGATAGATATAAAAAATCTTTCGAAAAAATATCGGTATATTTTCGATATTCTTTCGATTTTTGTTCAATATTATCGGTATATTTTCGGTAAATTCGGTACATTCGATCCATTCGATATATTCGGTATATTCGATTTAACTAGTACTATCGATATATTTTCAGTAGATTCAGTCCAGACTTTTTTAGTAAAATATTTTTTTATTATACTAGCAAGCCAAAAAAAGGCTATGACCAATGTATATACCCTGAAAGATATTAATAATAAAGGTGATAGTTCCTTCAAGGGGGTCGGTCAACGACTTGGTGGTGCATATGAGCAAGAGCTTAAAGAAAAATTATATTCTGCTCTTAAATCTAAAGCTGAGATTAATGATCTTAGAGAAAAACTAGTAGATAAGTACAATGCTCGAAAAAAGGAATTCCAGTGAACCTATGCTGACATGGAAAATAAAGCTAGCCAGTTAATTATGTCCACTACTAAAGTTAGATCCCAACTTATTTCCAAACGGAAGTCTCATTCTAAGAGTCAATGTGAGCTTGAAACCAAATATACTACCAAAATCCAATCGCTTAAATCAGAGATTAAAACACTGAAGAGAAAGGCGACTTTGGCCCAGAAAGCTTCATCAGCTGACAAGGATACGATTCTTTCTCTCAAAGCTAAAGTACGTGAATTGGAAGCTAAGTCATCTGATCCTAAAGAGATCGATTCTCTTAGGCTTGAATTGGAACGGGTAAAGGAAGACCTTAATTCCAAAAATCATGAAATAGAATATATAAAAAAAGAAATAGAAGCAACACATGAGATAACCAGTCGGGAAATAGATGCTTTGTCTTTGGCACGATTAAATTCAATAGAGGAAAATTCTCGTCTCTGAGAGATAATCTCAAAAAAAGATGATGAAATTGCGGATCTCTCTAATCCCCACCTTCGCCTATGAATGATTCATCACAAAAGCTACCAGGTTGACTCAGTGATGATCTAAGACCCCTTGTCTATAAGTTCGGTCTTGAAGATAAAGTTATAAAACTTAGCAAAGAGTATGATAAGGAAGATATTTTAGAGGCTTTGCAAGAGCTATTATTCCGGAATGAGATGGTTTCAAGAAGCCAGACAGATATCCTACCCAATCAATCTGTCCATAGTCGACCAACACATTCCAAAAAATTTATTTCGAAGGAAGTGATTGCAAAGCAATTGGGTGGCGCAGAAGCGGTATCTTTACCAGCAACTGCTCCTATTATCACAAGCTCCTTGATGTCGCCTACGTTAATATATTCTATACTTGCCATAGTACTTATTGCAATTATATGGTTCATGGTCAGGAAATGGTGGATTTCATGGAAAAAAAGTAACCAAGATTTTACCTACGAAAATTATATAAATAGGAATCATGCAAAGCGACTCTTGGCCAGACCAGATTATTATTATTTTCAATCCTAATCTTCAGGAGGATTAATTAGGATCTTTTCAGCTTGAGGTATGGCCCATCTTCTCTCATCTATATTTTTTCACCTTACAATGAAGAAAAAATATTTCGAACTATAAAATACCCTTAAATAGAAATCAGAGTTATGGATTTCCAATCCGATAAGCAGAAGAACCAAAAAACAGGACTACCCCCTATGAAACTTTACCTTATAGATATAGATGAGGCCATAAAGTATGAACCATCCCGAATTCAATTATTTTGCCAATCCTTTAAAGGTTTGTCCCATCTAAATCTAATTGATAAGGGGTTATCAGATGGTCTTCGGATATCAATAACCACAAAATGTTTTTTTATCATTTCATAAACATTTTTTGCTAGAGGCTCATAATCATCATACATATCTTTAAGAATTCGTTTTATGCTATCTAGTGTTCTACATCCACGATGCAATGAAATATATGTAAAATTTCCACGTATATTCTGATGGATTTCATAAAAATGCTGGGCGATATAAATTGAGCTAATTCCTTCATGCCTGCCTGACCTAAAGAAAGGAACGATTTTTAGTTGAGTTGCCAGAGGTTCGCCGGCAAGATCATCAAAGACTATAAGAGTAGATCGGCCAGTTCTTTTGAAAGACGAAATATCAGGTAGTTCTTCAGGCGCTATCAGTTTGAATCTCACATTTTCGTACCATGAAGCTTGCTTATCCTTGGCTATAAATTCATAAAAACATTGTACTGCTTCCCATAACTCTTCATCTTAGTGTTACGCAATAACAATTAGATCATCACACGGAATATACCTTTCACCAAAATTTTTGCTTCCGCCTTTTGGTATTTTATGACCACGTTTTTCACCAGATATCCACGAATATATTTTCAGATATTTGCTTCCTAGAAGCAGAAATACTACCATTCTCGTCTTTCCAGACTCAGAGGTGCCTGCAACTCCTAGTCTAAATGAATGTTTAGGAGCGAATGGATTATGTTTTTTTGAAGGTATAGTTTCATCTAATTTGCGTAGTTCGTAATATTCCATAGTATTTGAAAGTAGGATACTTATTCAAGAAACATATTTTTGTTAACCGCAATGTCAAAAAATTTTCTTTGGATGATGCCAGCTTTTTTTTTTCGTAATTATAAAAATTGGAATGGGAGAACCTTTGATTTATATTGATCCTCAGAAAGCTCAAGACTTAGATCGGGATCTTACTTTACAGAAACTTTATTACAGACCTGAGGATATTATCAGACTGCTGAAAAAATGCAAACCGCTTGTAAGAAAGCCGGATATAGATTTACTTTGGCCATTATAAAAAATTGTCTTAACAAACAGGCCTTACATCAGATTCACAAGCCTCGGCCAAAATTTATTCAGTATGCTTCTTTTAATGATATACAAGATCTAAACGATGTACATCAATCTGATATTACACCATTTTTTCATAATAAAATAGCCAATCGAATTTATAAGCATAAACTTATATTAAAAGATGTGGCTACTAGATTTCGTCGTAGTTTTGCTTTAACCAATAAATCATCTGCACAAATGGCCAAAGCGTTTCAGAAAATTTATGATGATCTGAATTGCCCTCTTGTTTGGCCAAATGTTTTAATCATTGATAGAGGTACTGAATTTATGGGCGAGTGTAGGGATTTATTACTTAGTCATGGTGTTAAAATTCAGTATGCTAATTCTAAACGTAGTGTAGCTATTGCTGAACGTGATCATCAAGAATTTGAAAAGCATGCTTATTTTCAGCAAGATGCTGTAGATTTTCATTTACCTTTAACTGAAAGGTCTAGAGCATGGGTTAAGGGTCTTCGTATAAATGATGATATTTGCAATAATACTCCTACTCGGTTAATAGGTATGTCTCCTAATGAGGCCATAAAAAGAGCATTAAAAGGCAAAAAAATAATAGCTAGACCTTTTGTCAAACATAGGAGACCAGTTGGTTATAATGAACCACTTTTACTTAGCTATACTGAAGTTTGGCATTTATTGGAAACCGGTGAATTAGAAGGTGGTAGAAGAAGAGCAACCGATTGCAATTGGTCTCCTGAAATTTTTACAATTGATTCTTATTTAATAAAAGAAAATCAACCTGTTTTCTATAAGCTTTACAATGGTCCTAGACGCTCATTTGTAAGAGAAGAACTACAAATCGTCTCGCCAGATTCAGTCTTACCACCCAAATATATTCTCAAGCATTAGACCTTCCTCCTCTCTCCTCCACTTGATATAGGATTTGTTCGAAGGCATCGCTTATGTAGTCATCTATTTCAGCTCTATTATAAACTATAATTTGCTTGTTTCTAAGCCAGTCAGTTTGTGAATTCTTTTTTCCTGCTTTATCATTTCCAGGTTTATTATCTATAAGAAATTTGGTAAGAGAACATAGAGCGAACTTGAATTGCCCACGCTTGTCAAATTCTTTTTCGAGTATTTCCTTAAATTGTTTTCTTCAGCTTTCTAACATTTTTCGTATGTCACTTCCATTATCTGGATGAGATTGGGAAACTTTTGCACAATGTACTGCTATAGCTCTTCTTTTTAGTGCTGTGCCCAATTCTTCTTGCTCCCTAAATTCTAGGTCTCTTTCTTGTTCATCAGTAATTTCTCCTAAGCGCTCAAATTCTTTATTAATCAAATTCTTAGATTTATTACCTTTCCTAAATGATTGTGTTTTAGGTCCTGGACCGCCTTCAGACTCTAATATCCTTTCATTTTTCTCTAACTCTTTTAATGTCGGTAGGCGAACTGCCTCTGGATCATTTAGTTCAAGATCATGGAAAAGGGACTTACAACTATCTAGATCATTTGCCTCATATGACTCAACACCTAGATCTAATTCTTTCTAACGTTTTTGCAATCTTGCTTCCCATGTCTTAATTCGCTCTCTAGGTTTACGTGCATTTGGACTGACCCAGTTCTTTGCCTCCTCTTCTGTGATGTAGTCAACACCAAGTACTGGAGCTTCCTTTTCGGGTTCTAGCTCAGGAACTGGAGTTGGAAGTACCACATGTGGCTTCTTCTTATTGCTTATATTTACACTAGAGCTTTCTACCTGTGCTTTGATTTCAGAAGCTTGGATAGCATGTTGGTTAGCTTTTTGAATAGGTACCTGAATTGGCGTTTGAATAGAAGCTACTTCCTTCTACTTTTGTAATGGTTTGCATGGATTTTTTCGCTTAAGATGCTCACGAAGTTTTTGAGGCGTTGAGCATTCATAACCACAACGTTTACAGATTGTATCTTTTTTATCACTTTTTGTTTTTCTAATCATGGTGTTAGCTCTAACCGTCGCACTATTACTTGCTTATATAATTTTTTCTTTAATTAATTATTTCCTATTCTTTTCAGTTTCCGATCTTAGAGTTGCCACTGAAGGTGGTATTTACGGGCTTGCCAAAATGGTTTTAAGCTATTACGAAACTGAAGTATTAACTATTTATT